TACAATGAAATAAAAAAGTATTTTTTTTTTGTTTGATTTCTATTCTGTTATAATAACCTACTTAAGGTGTTAAATAAATTTATAAACCGGATTTTTTTTAAGTGCCTATTTATTTATATATATAAATAAATGAACGAGTAAAATTAAGAGATAAAAATGTAATATATAATTGATAGTGGCTAATATTTATAATTTATCAAAAATTTATAATTAATTAAATATAATTAATCAATAATATGTTTTTTTTTTATAAAATTCTCGCACAATTTCTTTAAGATTTTAATGGTAATACGCATTTCAATTTCATATATGAACTTTTTTATCCTTGCCTGTTTAATAGTTCAGTAAATAATTAAATAATTAAAAATGAAATGATAATTAGTAATAAATTATTATTTATAATACTTTCTTTAATAGTTCATGTATTACTTAAGAAGGCCTAAAGGCATAATTAGTCATTTGGAAGGGCAACGAGTTAGAGACAAGATAGATCTCATACATGTGTATTCAGTAAATTTCAGGATGCTGTTCATATCTATAGGCAATGATGACTATATTCTATGAGGTGGACCGTCATCGTCATAATGTTCCGTACCAAGTTGCATAAATTAAGTAAATACGTAGAAATAAATTAGTGTTGGGAACACCTCATTTCTAAATTAAAAAGAAATCACGATTAAATTAATCATAGATGGCGTATTGTGATGTTACAGCTTTGAGATGTCGATGTGTTCACATTTCGCCAGGCGGAATATTTTAAATTTCGAATCGTATGCAACAAAGAGCGACTTAGTGCCATTCCTTGAATTAATCACCTTCGTTAACAGTTTTCAATCGTGAGAAATATTATTTGATCTCTGCTCATTTTATTTTAATATATTGATACTAACATACCGTTGTTTTGAATAATATTAATTACTGTGTGGTTTCGGCATCGAATGGGCTACCCCTTTTTTTCTTGTGAGTGTCGTAAGAAATTATTAAGAGAGCTGAATGATCGGAGGATGGGCAGCAGCGTTCCTCTTAAAACATTACCAAAGCCTAGCTGCGGTTGCCAATCCACCTGCCAACCGTGGCAACTACTGACCTCCCAAGGGGTAGTACTATGCTCAACTTTATACATATGGTATGGTATAAAATTACATATACAATAATAAATCAAAAGTAATAAACGAAGTTCCGAACAAATGAAATTATAAAAAAAATTGTGCTATTTTGTTTAGTTTTGTTCTTAAAAAAGAGTCGGCCTTTACTATGTAGGTTGTTTCTTATTATTTTGTTTACGACAATAACGAAAGAAAACGTTAAAATAACAATTAAGTATTTGAAAGGACTCTCTCATTTTGGACTCTTATGTGCAGCTTTACCTTTTGAATCATTTCACTCGATGTTAATTATCCGTAATAATCCGTTTTCGGTAATGAGACAATATTAGAAAGGACAAAAGCTTAGGAATTCACTCTGTTCAATTCCACACCTAAATATACTTGGTTTCTTGTAAATGTTAAATGCCATCATATTTTGAGGAGTAAACAATTGTAAATAATTAATGGTACGCCTGGTATTTCTTCATTAATTATTAAATGACGAATCTCTTTTCAAGATGGCGACAATATTTAAATCAGTTGACGATGCAGGTGTTCATACCGTGTTTGTTTGTTATCATTTCCATTCAAATATGGTTACAAAATTAGCATCGGATATTAGTAATATGATATTTATGTTTATAATTCCTGTATAGCTGATAGTAAACCGAGGTTAGTTAAGTTGTTATATTGTTTATATACACTTCTTTTGTAAACAACAAATTTACAGATGCTGCTTTCTCATAATATAATCCTAGTTTAAAGAATAGGCAATTGGTGTATCGCATTTGTTATTATTATTATTAAACAATATTATTCCATCTTGTATATTATCTGAAATCTTTTATTTTCTTTTTTCTTTTTTTTTTTCTGCTTTAGTGTACATAATTGCTTTGCCTTTGCTTACTAATGTATATCCAGTTGTGAATGATTGTTATTTAAACAATTAAATATCATATAACTATGTGCGTATACATGTTTTCATGTGTACGTATTGTATTTATATCTACTACGCCTAACAACTTTTGAGTTCTCCATTGTATGTATTGTTATAAACTGTTTCATGCTATTCCTAGTGACTTGTGATACGGGTTCTTCAGATACCCAGTTCAGGCACCAGTTCTCTACAACTTTGATGTATCTATGGTATTATTTTAAGTGTTTCGTTGTACTCAAAAAAGTTGTGAGATAAATAAATAAACATTATTATTATTACCAATATAGCGAACTATTTCTAGAAAGCAATGCTTGTGTAGTATACTTTGGTCTGAAGCGTAACATAGTTCATTCAATTATTATGTTAAGTTGACCTTCACGCCGACTATATCGTGATCAATTTCTTTTTAATCCTCATTATTTCATCTTTCACTACTGCCAGGCTATTTTTTTGTAGGTGAAAATGGAATGGTAACCCCGCTTGCGCTAACGGGATACTCTGGTAGAGAACCAGTGAAGGGTGATCGATGAGAATGAAAATAGGCCAGTTAGACCATCATAATGTATTTATCAGGAATTAACTATGATAGTTTCCAGGGGGAACCACGAGGAGGTTGACCTGGTTGAGTATATTGCGAGTAATGGGATTCTCAGTCTCCATTACTAACATTCCCTTTTCCCCCATTACCAGGCTATTGGATACCATTAGGAATTATCATAATTGTATGTATCATCTTACTCTCAGGGGGGGAGGGTACTGTTAGTAATGGGATCTAACAGCTCCATTGCTAGCAATATACCCAACCAGGTCGACCTCCACGCGGTTCCCTCTGGAAACTATCGTGGTTAATTCTTGTGGATTCGTCTATCCTCACCTATCATATATCACTGGTGCCCCGCCATTATATACTGATAGCGCAGACGGGGTTACCATTCCATTATCACCCATTAAAAAAAACATACTCTCAGTATGTAAAATAAGAAATATTTCGTTCGTAAAAATATAACTGTAGTTTTTTAAATTTACTAATATTATTATAATTTTAAATGGGTACAGTATTTGTGGTTATAGAACTGGGCTCCTAAATAGGTTAATTAATCTGTGTTAAGGAGCCACAGTCAAGTCTACTATTTCCACCTAGATCAATGGATTAGCAGATATTTACTGTCTCCCGTTCTGGTGTAGTGTGTAACATCAGAATATGTTGTGATGAGAAGCTGCTGTGCCTCGTTGTATTCTTATTTTTTTTTACTGGCTGAATATGACATGGTAACCCCGCCTGCGCTATCGGTATATATCGGTATATCAGTGAGAAGTGATAGGTGAGGATGAAAAGTCTGGTCAGTTAGCCTATCATGATGAATTCAACGATAAATTAGTCACGATAGTTTCCAGGGGGAACGCCTGGAAGTCGACCGGTCAGGGTACATTGGTAGCAACAGGGACTAACTTTCGCATAACTAGCAATCCCTCCCTCCCCCCTCCTATTCTTATTATTATATTTATACTTACGTTAGTCATGCAAAACGCCAAAACTTGTTTCCATTGACGTCTGCATCATTACACCTTATATGTCTATAAAAGACAAGTTTCCAAAAAGAATGGCCGGTTAAGTGGTTAGAATTCGTCTTTTTTTGTACACATCCATGCCTGTTTAATATTAATCAGCCTTCTTAATAAACAAGCTCCGCCCTTCGGCTTCGTCTGCGTGATCCTCGAACAAATTGATCGTTAAGATTGCTATTGTACGATAAGTTTTTTTTTTACCGTTTTTCTAATGGAAATTAAAATTCACAACACAATCTTTTATAATAATAGATCAAAATTCATGAATAGGTTGTTGAATAGTTGATAATCAATAATTCAATTTAGATTATTAAATTATATACTTGGATGTAGTATAAATTAAGATTTTTTTTTAATTAAATATAAATTTTTATTTAGGTAATTTTTTTATATTTATATATTCATTTAAACTTAGTAAATCATTAATCGCGCATTATTGTTTTTTAAATTGAATTATTGCGTATATTTTGAATATATTATGAGAATATTGGTATCGTAAAGGTTATTTTGTCTAATTGTTAATTTTATTTATTTTTTGTTTAAATTAGTTTAATAGTTGTAGTTTAGATGTTAGTGCATTATTATTATTATTTCGATAATAATGCATTACCTAAGTGTGTTACTATTATTATTATCATCAATTAAATTTGGATTCCTTATTAATTAATAAGAAAAAAATTAATAATAATTTTATTAGATACTGTTAAAGTTTAAATAACTATTTTTTATAATTAAATCATAGAATAGTTAATACCAATCAAATATTTAAATAAAATTTAAATAATATTACACAAAAATATAATAAAAAGTAAGTACTATTGAATATTTAATTAAAAATTAAATCTTACGTTTTAGTATATTAGAAAATTCAGATTCTATTTATTTTTCAATATAAGAAAATATTAAAATATGATATTCACGTAAGAATAATGTTTTTAAAATTAGGTTTTAGTAGACTTTATAGTTATACCTATCAATTTAGGTGTTTTAATAATTCTTATATTAATTAAAATATTCAAATATTAGTACGTTGAAAACAGCAGAATATGGTAGAAGTGTATTCACTATCTACTTGATATCACGTTGTACTATATTGTAACAAGTAAATTAATTATTGTAAAACGTAATTGTATTATAAAACAACGTAGTATGTTTTATATTTAAAAACAACAACTCAATAATAAATCGAATGAAACATAATAAATAATTCATCGAGTAAGAGTACATCCCTAGATCTGTCAAGACAATAACGATATATTTGAATGTGGAATCGTCTCGTTGTGTGTAAATATTGGCGCGTGCAACCACATCGGCCGTCCGAGTGCGATTGCGAAGCGGGGGGCGAGGTACGCTTGCGCGGCGCGGGGCAGGGGCGAACAGCTGAGCGCGCGGGTATATTGACAGTCGCTCGACACGTTGCCGCTCAGTACTTCAGTAGGTTCGCTGTCACTGCGGAGTGCGAACGTAGCCGCTACGAAATAACATTTCTCGATTGATTTTGTCACGATCGCCCCGCAGTAATAGATGAGCTGCGGTTGGGACCCGTTAAAATTATGACTTTTGGACCGATCGCCGGCGAAGAAAAAAGCAGTAGATATCCCCTTCTGGAAGAGAAAGCTTTGAGGATAGTGTCCAGGTACTGGGAGTTCTCCGGTGCGTCGGTTGCCGAGAGGCTTCGGTACGGGAAAAATCACAAACTCCTAGCGCTATTCGGACTGCAATAAAAACTGAAAATAATAATAATATAAACTTTTAAAAACTCGAACAAATTAGTATTTAGTGATTTTTTTGAGTGCAATACGTGAACTGTGTTTGTGTTTTTAGTTGCTTGGTTATTTTTTTTTTATTATTTTTTTATATACTGGATTAATGAAAATGGTGCCCCAGCAAGTTTCGGATGTGCGATCACTTACGCCGACTTCGAGCGGAGTACCGGTGTTCGGTTCCCAGCTGGTCGACAAAAACTCGTCAACCCCGTATACGGATGCCACACAGGTAGGTCCTGCTAGGATGTAGAAAAAACACAGTGCTAAATAAAATAATAAAATGTAAAAATTACAAAAATAAAATAAATTAATTATTATTTAATTTAAGACAAATTATAATAAAATTTTCATTAAACATTAGTTAGACGTTTATTTCAAATATAATTATTAACAAATAATAATTATATGAAATGAAAATAATTAAAAAGACTGAGTTAATTTATTTGCTAGTTAAAATAATTTATAAATAAAAACAATTTTAAATGACTAACTACAGCAATATATTTAACATAAAATAAATAGTTATTTTAATAAAAAAGATACGTTTTTATTCATATAAAAAAATCAAAACAGAAAGTAATGCTTATCATATTTTTTAAATGAAGTAAAAATTTAAGACTAATTTTTTTTCTTTCTTTATAAAATAAACTTTATAAAATTATTATAAACATAAACATGAATTACATACAACAGAAGTGAAAAAAAAAATTCATACCTACTCAGAAATAAAATAAGTAGGTAAATAAATGTATTAAATAAAATTAGTAAAAAATAGCATATAGGTACAAAAATAAATAATAAAGTGTTTATTTTAAATCAAACGTATAAAAAATACCTCGAAAAGTATTTAGAAAAAAATATTTAAATCTATTTCATAAATTGATAATAAGTTTACTGTACACAGAAAAAATTAGAATTAGCGAAGTAATGGGATATCCTAACATAATTACTTAAAATACAAACATATTGGATATTTAAAATAATAAACGTGGTTAATTTAATGTTTAAGTAAAAATAATTCTAATTTATTATAAATAAATATATTTTACTTATTTAAAATTGTGTATTTACATAAACAGAATATACGAAATTAAAAGTTAAGTTAAAATATTATACTTTTAATTTAAAATCACAAATTAATTATAAATACATAATAAAAAATAAACAATAAAATAATGCGCAGTTCAGTTTATCACTCCAGGCGGCGCATGGCGAAAAATAATAATGTAATTCTATTTTGTAAACATGTTTTTCAAATGACGTACCTATCACATTAAAGTAATAAAAATGTAGTAAATAATACAACTATTGATAAACATCTGTAACTTACAAGTATACACTTGAAAAGTAAAACAGGCACTTGGCTAGTTAGATTTATTTATAGGTTTTAACTATTTTTTAAAAGTTACTAGTAGTTACATTAAAAATAAGAGAAAGATTCAATTATAATTATTTTTAATTACAGATTAATTGTTTTAATTAGAGATTAATTATTAATTAGAGAACTTCAATTAAAACTTGTGTAACTATATTTAATGGCCTATTTATAGTTATAGAGAACCGTTTAAAATAATAAAATGAAACTCTAATAGGTACATAACTCAATATTTCATTATGACCAACTTGTATTGAACCTAGTTAAAATAAAAAAATATAAAACACATACTCTACTATGTTTTATTAATTATTCCAAAAATTCATTTTGTACAGTAAATAAATGATTAAATAATTACAAATTAATTAATCAACTATTTCAAATTAGGTATTCAATATCTCATAATTTTAGTTGATTGATGTATTCTTGATATTAATATTTGCTAATTTTGTTAAATATAGGTAAATTATTAAAAAGAATAATTCGATTTTTTTCAAAAATACATAAATTATTAATCACGTTCTACGGATCTATTGCGTACATTAATATTTAAATTAAATTATTTAATATTTGATAGTTTTGACTAAAATGCATAAATTATCGAAGACTACTAATTATAACAAAATACCTTATAGTTATGAAAAAAATATATTAAGTAATTTATAAATAAATATAATTAATTTTAAGTACAGTGGCCATCAAATCTGTTGGCGAGATAGGGAATTTCAATTCGCTCACTAAACGAGTTACAAGCAACGAGTAATGAAGTAGGAACATGCAATAGAATGCAGTCACTAGTCAGGCAGGCTCGAGGAAAAATAAATTTGCAAATATCCTTGTAAATGTAGATACATAAATATTATCTATTTAATAAGCGAAATATTATAATAAAATAGGTACAATAATTGATATCTATTTAAATTATTATCTGTCCTTCCACTCGTCCTTCCATCTATAAAAGACATGTTCGAACATGTTCCTAATGAAAGTGTTTTAAAATATTGTGCAATAAATACTTTACTAATCACGTCCTCCCAGTTTCCGGACGCTTAGGGTTGGGGAATACCGTGTAATATTATAATTAAATTTTGTTAAACAATCTTTCAAGTTTAGCAATAAAACCAACCTTGTAATATTTAAAACTGAGATTTTAAAAACAGCAATGGGGAATAATACCATGATAATGTGATATCAAATATTACTAGTCAATTCTGCTAATTTCATATAAATAAAGATTAAACAGACTGAAATGAAACAACGCGAAATTAAATAATACAAACAACAAATTAAATTAAATGTGACGAACTAAAATATACCAAACAGCCAAGGGGAATACCACATTCATAGGTTCATAGTTATTTTTCAAACAAAACCAAAACAATTATTTGCTGATGCTGAATATGAACAATAAGTAATGATTGAATAAAACAAATGAGCCGATACCAATGTGGACGCAGTTAGACGGCGTGGTTGATATGACGCATTCTGCTGCGTAAAAGACAGGAGATCAACGACCATTGCCTATAGTTTTTTCGCGTTATCGCACCTCTAGCAACTAAAGTTGGTATATAAGTCAAAACAATCAATAGGACAGTAAAAACTTATGGTTTTATTGCTATGAACAAAATATCCGTTTGTGCGCGAGCGAACCCTCGGGGTGCATTAACATTTCAATGTCAACCCGTAATATTTTTAGTCTCATCCGTAGTGTGAGTGGCCTTTCGCGTACGTACGGCCAATGTATCGCGCGTGTCCGCTTCGTCTGTATGACACGCTCTCGGTACTAGGAAATTGTAATCTTGGGTCATTCGCGTCGCATTCGTAATGTTTAAAATGCGAATTTTCCTGACCACTTATCACGTAGGCATCGGCGGAAATCTTTTGCTTCCTGATATCAAATCACGACACATTTATAACTCAAATTATCTCAGTAATATGAGGAAACTATTCCAATTGTGTCGTACGTACGCTTTTATAATTATACTACAATAGGCTGTATAATTATCGCTATTTCAATTGCCATGATGCTAATTGTCGGAGTATGATGCTCCTCATTAAATCTATTATGCGATTAAGAAATCAATATTATGTACGAAAAGAACAACAGCATCTTCGAGCTCGATGCAAAGTACGAGATATAACAAAATTAACTTAGGGCGTGGTTTCGGATCATTATAATCTGAACGGCAAACTGCGGACTCGAGTCGGTTGAGTTTTTGTTAGATTTTTTACCGTGAATATGTAGCCGTGCTGTTGTCGACTGGCTATGGCAACTGTTCTTTTCGACCAAGGTTGCCTCACGCCTCCGTGTGCCTTTATTACTCGAATAATGATTGTCCGTTCTCCGGCTGATTGTTAGATTATACGTTTGAGACTGAAAAACACGCCTTGCTTGCTTTTAATTTACTTTAAGCACTTCCTAGAAAGAAAAGGTTCGCGTAACAAGTCCAACGCCACCCATTCCTTCGTGCTTGTCTACTATAATGTTGATTTTCTTACAACTGTTGATCACGAAAGGTTCGGTTTTAAAATTTCGAGAATTCCTGTTACATTCCTATTCAGAGTTTTGATTGAAATCCACGTCGAGGCTATAAGTTGAAATTGATACGATGTAGCTTTAACGGAGTGACCTAAAATAACAAAACAATTCTATATTGGGGATAATAAATTAACATTTAATGCTGCTGGTTACCTTTCAGAAACAATTTCGTGTTCAAGCCTATCCTCGCATAAGTTTATCGTTTAAGTAAGCAAATTTATGTACCCTAATGCAGTGTTGGCAGCTCAGTGCAAATCAACATTTGATTGTAAAATACGAACCTATGTCGGCAAATGCAATTTACTCTACACTTGTGGGTGGCGTTTTAATGGTACCATTATACTACGGCGAATGTTGCCCAAGACAATTGCCTCTGCTTACAGACAACACCGATCGTGCGTATTTACAATAAAAATTAGTGGATTCGTGATTATGAAATTATTCAACACGACTCACTTTTGGGTGAGAGTTTCGAGAAGTGTTTACAACTGTGATGTTTGTTAAAAATATGAAATGTGCTGCAAATTTCCAGGGATATATTTTATATGAAATATCACTGAAGGAATTTCTTTTATTTGTTCATTTCGTGGTAAAATCAATTTATCATAGCCGTATAAAAATAAAGAAAAAACAAATTTGCTGTTACAACGATAGAATTTAGGAGAAAAACACCTTGGGCCGGATTGGAATACTTCATACTCACTCATACTGTACAACTTGCGATCGCAAACCCTGACATGTGAAAACAGAAAGTCTGAACTGCAAATAGCTATAAATTTGGCCGAGCAACGTTGACGCAGAACGAAAATCGCGACGGCCAACTTTCATGGTGGAACAACAAAAATAAACCATATATCTTTCACTTGAATTTTCCGCATAAGGTTTTGTTTGTACGATGTTTTATTCTACATTCGCAGCTGTTGCACTAATATTATTTAAATATATTTCGATAATAAACTATTTCTAGAAATTATTTAATCATTTTTTATCTTAGCGTAGGTATTGTTTTGATGTTTTTTTTTTTGTACGTACATATAACGTATTTCGTTCTTATCTATTTTACAGCTTCATGTTTCCTTTCATGTGTAATTTTATCAAATGCATTTGACGAAATTTACTGATGTCGTAAACATAATCACGTATTTGTACTACGAATGGATTTGTAAATATTTATTCCACAATAATAAATATATACATTTTCCTAGCTAGAAAGAGTTGTATCGATTCATAACAACTAGAACTATAAAAGAAAACATAATAAAGCAAAAGAAGCCATTTAACACACGAACAAACTGAAACTACGACTGATGTTTGC